CCTCTAATTTTTTTTTTTTTTTTTTTTTTTATGTCTTACTTTTTGAGCTCATTATAAAATATCAAACAAAGTTGAAATATTACATTTTTAATATTATTTTGAAGTACTCATGGCCTAGTATTTCGTTAATGGTGTGCAAAATGGCCAATCATAGCAAATGTTGCGACGCGTCAAAGTAGGCAATTCCAAACTAATATTTTGAGAATTTCGATAATAGACTAACTTTAAAAAATGTTCGACGATTATACGCTAGTTATATCCATAAATCTTCTATATCCTCTCAAAATTCAATTCGATAATTATATCATAAAGATATCGATTGATTTAAATGAATATTGAAAATAATCAAACGCGTATGCCAAAAAGAGACGTAAAACTCATTTTTGGTGGAAAAATCAATTATTTTATTAATGTTTATTATTTTTGCGCGACAAATTTCTCAATATAATTTACATCATTTTATTAGGAAATTTTATATGTGGTATGATGCCAAATTTTATTTTATTTTTTTGACGTAAAAATTCTTAATAAAATTTTTATTACTTCATAGAGAATATAAATTGTTATACTACTTTTTCATCTTGATTATTTTCATATTTGAAAAAAAAAATTATACATAAAAAAACTTCAATCATTTTTAGGATTTTTTTTATTGTTACATTTTCCTCTCAATCAATTATTTTTTTTCAAATGACATCAAAAATTTTATTAGGAAATTTATTAGATTTTTTAAAAAAAATTAATTGATTTAGAGGAAAAAGTAAAAACAATAAAAAAAAATTCTTAAAAATGATCGAATTTATTTTTTTATATATAAAAATTTTTCTATGTAAAAATAATCAAAATGAAAAAGTAGTATAACCGTTTAAAACACATATAAAGTAATAAAAAAAATTCGTCACTTTTTTTAAAAGTTTGATTGTGACCCTCTAATGTAAAAAGTCTGCATCCACCCCTGCATAGTCAATGATGACTTGATTGAGAAATAACATAGATGCTTTACTTACGCTCAAATTCTTCATTTTATGAGAAGTCCTATTTTCTTTATCCTGGAAATCTTTATAATATGTAATTCTCTATGAATCAAATCATATGCTCAAGATATAAACAACAAAAATGGATTCTTGTTAAAGAGCTATCAGTTCCAAACATCATACTTGTCAACTGGCTTTTATTATCAATACTGGAAAAAGATTTCATGGAGATTTAGATAAAAACTTGAATTCAAACACTTATTTTATCACGTACCAGTCCTTTAAATGAATCCAATTTATTCATGAACATATTGAACACAACATTTAAATATATAAATATGTTGCGTCTCGTTTTAAATAAAATAACATGTAAAATAATATGTAAAGAGAAATTGAACCACTTCTCTGTCACTACCATGTTTACTCACTAAAGTTATTCTTTGCGTCCTTAATATTGCCGAATTTGTGTCAATCTTTAATCCTCGCTTTATTCCACTAAAGAAATCATTTATTATTAAAAAGAAAGAGAACAAGGGTCTTCCCATATATTCGTCCTTCTCGCAAGTAATGAATTTTATGTTCACACTGTTCCACAATTGGCCAGTCTTAAAACGTTGCTGTTTTATATTCAGTCAATGAAGCAAGAATTTGGTCCCTTTTTTATTTTTTATTCTTTTTCTTTTTCCCTTCTTTTCTTGAGAGAAAAGGAAACTGGGACTATTATTGTATTCTTTTCCATATGAGCTTTTTTAATAGTCTCATAATCTTGATAAGTGAAAACGTTAACTTTCAAAAGTTGGGAGTAATTTTATAAATACTTATGTGTCTTTGGTTATTTAGGAGAAAACTCAAAATTAGACAAGAACGGATGAAAATGAGCAATAATTGATTAAAAAAAAAAAAGGAAGTAAAGTTGGACATATTTTGGAAGTTGGGGACCGAGAAGTCATGTTTAGAAGTTGAAGGATATCAATTGCCATATGTAAGGACTCAATTTGAATTAAAAGAAAAAATGAGATCAAATTGTACAAGGAAAGACTAAGCTCCCATTTGGTAACAATTTTCACCCCAAAATATAAATTTTTCGACCATTATTTCACTATTTCAGCCGTCATTTTGACTTTTTCACTTATAGGTGAAGCCCATTTTTCTCTCTAATGGTAAAAAAAATCAAATCATATAATCACTACCGGACTGGCCCTAAATTTCAACAATTTAAGATATCCTAATTTAACTAAAATTACGATTCCCAATCCTTTTGAAACTCTATTTTAGACATAATTTAGTTCTATAAATAGGGATCTTATATTCAATTAAAAAGGATATGCTGGTGATACAATCTTAAGGCGAAATGATACTTTCAAATATATTTAATCCTCGAGGTTTATATTTCCATTTAGGATTTCAAGGTCGAAGAATGCCATTTTTCGAGAGATTTACAATCCTCCAAAAAGAGCTTCAAGACCCATTGTTGAATGCCGAAGAATAATTGCTTGGATTATTTTCTTCCTTTATTTTAATGAAATTATTCTTCTAATCCTTTTGTTACTTAATTTCAATAATATGATTGGCTAAACAATTGGTTGTTAGGATGAATGATATCGCTTAGGTGAATATTTTTTAATTCAATTGATTTTATACAACATTGATTTTACGTTGATTGCTTATTGTGTTTTAATTATATTCGTTTGCTTGATCATCAATTGTTTGATTTAAGAACAATATTGAGATTGAGTGGAGAATTATTTCTCTAGCCCTACAATAAATGACAAAGATGTTATAAGAGATCAAGAAATGTTTATTGAGATTGAATTCCTAAAATTAAATGCTTTTACATACATATAAATTTGCATAGAGATATGGCAAATTAACACATGAGAATATGGCTAGTTTTTGCTCTGAAGAGAGTACTAACTAATATCAGTTAATTCCATTACTAATATATATGAACAATTTGTTGAATGAATATGAATAGCCTAGTTGAAATCGAAATTTCTTACTTAATCCCATAAGTTTTCACAAATTAGGTTAATTAAATTAATTTAGATTATGTTAGTATAAATTAGTTAGAATTAAAAAAAATAATAATAAAACTCTTGATTTTGTTAGCCCTATTTGGTGCCCATTATCTCACAAAAAAATAAATAAATAAATAAATAATAATAATAATAATAATAATAATAATAATAATAATAATAATAATAATAATAATAAATAAATAAATAAATAAATAAATAAATAATAAAAAAGAAGTTTTGAATAGTATTTTTAGGAGAATGTATAGTTAAAAAGTAGAAAAAAAATTTTAATTTATGTACAGAATATTTTATTGCGTGAATTTATGGTTGAAAATGATTCTATAGTGAAAAATATTTTAAAATAATGGGCACCAAACAGGGGCTTAATAGTTTACCACATTAATTTAGACGGGAGCTAGATTAGGATGAAAATGGGTAGTAATTATTAATAGTCTCTATGG